ATATATATATATATATATATATATATATATATATATATATATATATATATATATATGGTGTGTGTCGCGTGGTGCATGTATACATACACACATATACATATTTCTATCATATTGTAAAATAAAAGTTAAGATAATTTAATAATACAAAACAACGTTATTTACCATAAAAGATTGTTTTGTAAGAACTGCAAGACTAGTTTCTGTTATTCTTGTTACAAGTTTTAAACATTCTGTACTTATTCGAAGAGACGTATCTAAGAATGCATGACTGCATATATACTAAAAAGAAGGATAACAATATGTAAATTAAATTATATATTAAATTAATTCAATTGAATTATTAAATATATTAATTTTATATACCGGGAAATATTCTTGAAGCATTTGCTTTATATCCATGCGTATCAATTCGGCTATGTCATATAAGAGCGCATTTGCTTTTGGCATTTCAACGATAATAGTAATCAGAAAGCAAACCGCATAATGACCATCCTTGTATAATAATTGACGTGATCCTTCATAACCTATACATTTAGCAACACGATGTACTGTAGTTGCCATATTATATGAAAAATTTATATAGTTACTAACGGCACGTTTCATTATAAGCTGTAACAATATATATTTTAGATATATTATAACGCAAAGAATTGTTGTAATTTATAAATAATAATTTATAGAATAATTACTTTTAAGAAATCCTTTCGATATCGAATATACAAAGTCTTTGGAGATACATTTAAAAAGTCAGCAACATCCCGATATGCAGTTATAGCGGATGCTACTGCTGTATGTGATGAATGTGGATGTGTTATTGTGATTAAAAATACATTCAAAATCCTTCTTTCCGTTATATGTAATGGAACGCTGAAATTGTTACATTAATTGTTAATTAATAAAAAAAAGCAATGAAGTATTTGCGCAAATTACAATTCATATTTATACTAAATATTCTTCATATTTTACCATACAAAGTTCTTTGCAGTGTTGAGTAATGTATCATGTAAGGAATGATTAGAGATATTTAATGCAGTTATAAGAGTGTTGGCTATAACATCAATTACTAAATCAACATATTCGTCCAAATCATTTGGCATGATATCCGACAAACATTCACCATTGCTCTTCAGCATAATGATCTTATTACTTAACAGTTGTCCAATTACCGATGCAAGATTCGATCGAATCTCAGTATTTTCATCGTATATATAAGGAAGCCACTTTTTTGTTATCTCATTCGAGTTGAATGATTTTATATGATTTGAAAAAGAAAGAATATTTTTGGAAATATGTAATCGTACGGAAATATTTGTCGAAGAAAATAGTTTAAAATATATATCAAAAATATGGTCGTAGACCTCTGGTAGATAATGTACATTGGAATCGTCATCTTTTTTTCTATTTTTTGTACAACATTCGCAATATATACTCCATTTTTTGTTTAACGATCCACTAAAAATAAATATTATTAATTATTTCATAATTTCACAAATAATAACTATAAATCTTAACAAAATACTTTATAATTTTTCCTTTTCCTGATGAAACACAAGTTATCTGGCCCAAGATATTTGCAAGAGCTTCATGTATTTCCACTTTCGTCGAAGATAAAGCGGTATTTAAAACATATTGACAAACATCTTCCAATTTTATGTTTGCATCTTTCAATAGTAATACGCTGTGTCTATATGTTTTAATATATTTTATGATTAATAAGTACATATTATTTAAAATGCATGAAAAAAATATAAACATACTTACAACACTGCTGTAACAGCTATTTGTATGTTACTATTTAATATACACATGCGTAATAATTTTAATCTTTCCTTGCCATTGCCATATGTGCATAAAGTTTCAAGACATTTCGACATTGTTTCAACGTTGAGAGATTTTGCTCTTTGTACCATTTTTTGACTGATATCCATGGATCCTTTGAAATCTTGAGTAAATGGCAATGCTAATATCGATTGCAATAAAACTTTATTCGATTCATTGTGAGCCATTATACTCATTAATATTTGAAAAATAATCTCTTCATTTCGACAACTCTCAGAATTTAAATTTAGCATAAGAATCCTTAGTATGACATTTAAGTCGTTATCATATAATTTTACATGAATTTCCTCTTTTTCTAGCCATAATTGCAATAAAGATGACCCTTTAACAATATATAATACTTGTGTAAATTTTTCAGCTTCCATAAGACTCATCAATTCTTTTCTTAATAAATTCCATGGTTCGCTGATTTCTGTAGCAAGAATAGTTTTATTTGCCATAACAGCTCGTTGAATATCAATAAAAACAAAGTACATAAGAATCTCGATAACAGTCTAAAATAAAAACAAATTATTAAATATAGAAATAATAGTATAATTATAAAATGAAAATAAAGTATTAAAACATTATAAAATATATATGCAATGATCACAAACTGGACAATGTACGAAGTAAGCCAAGAGTTTCTTAGCTTCTACAGTCGTACAGGACCGTGGCTCTACAATTAGATATTGTTCAATTTTATAACATGCTGATTCTTCCAATTTTTTTACTGTTTCACTATTGACATCATATACTGAAAAAAGAGAGAATATCATTTTTTAAAGGAAAATATGTATAAACAGAATTAAAATAAAGAACATACTCACAAATGTATTCGGCAGATATAAAATCAATAACTTGAAAACACAAATCTGTGATATTAAGGGAAATGGGTGATAATTGTATTAAATGTATCAATGTTTTTACAAATTGGAGCAGTTTATATGCTGGTAACGTCTCCAAATTGATCCAAGATGGGAGATTCTTCACTATTTCTAGGCTATACATAATTATGATTGTACATTCCTAAAAATATTCAAATATAATGTCTTGAGATACAAATTTTTTTTTAGTTTTCACTTACATGATCAGTGATAATACACTTTTCCATAATTTCTACAAGCAGCTGTAATGCTTCAATCTTTAAGTTTGGAGAAGAATTGACTAGGATTGTTATAATTCTGTTCCATAATTTGTTTTTATCCCAAACTGAAGCACCAGTTTTCATAATTATCTATCAATACAAACATTATTATTGAAAATCAACAAATGTCATGAAAATCTGAAAAACTGAATCTGAAAAAATACCTTTAATAAAGATTCTTGAATTGATGGCACATCTGATGATTTAATCTTCGCAGGAAATGGTGTTAGATCTAAATTCTGTATAATATCCTTTTCTGTACAAAACTTTGAAAGAATTATTTCTTCTGCAGCATCTTTGTAAAATTCTGATATCTCTATAGAGACAATATAAATGATTTAATTGAGATGATTTTGAACGATTTATAAATTTTATTATCAGTATATGTATATAAATATATATATATTATATACAATTTTTTTTACTTTACATTAATTTATATTTTGACCAATTATTAATTTATTACATACCATCGAGTATACTTAAATATTCTAAAGTAATAGTCTCAAACATTGTCATGTGATGCCTTGATAATATTCTGAGCATACAAGCTTGTACTTCAATACTGTTTGAAAGTATCACATTACTTGATGGTTTACAGATCAAATAAAACATTGTGCCAAATAACCAAGTTGTAAATGCTAAAAATATATATAATTAATAATATTAATAATATGTTATAAAATAATAAAATATAATATATATATAAAATAATAAAATATTTAAATTATATCACTTTGATATTAATACCTGCATATTGTTGCTGCAGATCAATGTCTGTTACAGCATTACTGAATGGTGGGATTAGTACAGTAGTTAATGTAGAAGATCTTTTTAATAAAGATTCCAAAAGAGAACATAGCATTTGCTCCGTTGGAGGATTCTCCAGATCAGAAAATATTGCTATTATTGGACTATTGATATACTTCCATACTGAGTGTGCTACAGTTATCCTGTAATAAAAAATTAGTTATTAAAATACATTTGTATTATCTTGTCTCAATTCTTGTGATAAAAACATGTAAAATAATTATTTAATCTTTAATTGGTAAGTTTAAAATATATGATATTTTACTGTTACATAAAATTTTGAGAAGAACATTATTTACAAGTACAATTGTTAAAAATAAAATATTATTATGATTCATAGATTTTTTATATTTCAATTATGTTGAATATAGATATGAATTGTTACGTCTCTCGATATGATTATTAGTATATTCTTAAGTTTATACTTACGTGCTACTGTTTTGAGGAACCGAATTATCATTCACTTCCGTTACTACATCCATCATGATTGATTATGATCATGTATAAATTGTAAATAAGCAAAATAAACACGTGTGTACATATATGTTCAATCCGGCATTAGGCTGGTATTACATTTGTCGTACGACAAATTTTTCAAGCGTCTTGATTGATTGCAGGATAGAAAGTTTCTAGAGACTCGAAAATTTCTCTACTTTGCAGCCAATCAATACGTCTAACAAATTTATCGTACGACACATGTAACAGCACCCTTAGGCTGCATTCCTATGGATGATACCCGTTTGACCATGTCCCAATTGACCACTAACCACTTACAGCGCTTGAACAGTGGAAAAATTCTAGGTGCCGGCCCCTGTGAGTGGCTAGTGATCAATCGGGTGTCATCCCATTCCTATACATAATATACATGTTTTTAATATCATAGATTTTATATTCTGATGCATCTTTCCTTAGATAGATAGATAGATATAGAGAGAGAGAGAGAGAGAGAGAGAGAGAGAGAGAGAGAGAATAGATGATTATATCTTCCATCTTTCTTTTTAACAAATATACAAAGTGCATGCCGGAAATAACGTACAAAATACGTACACTCTCCCCAAGAAACGTGTACTAATTTGTTCTTTTTTAACATTTAATAGACAACAAAGTTAAAATGATACGTTTGCGCTTGCGCAGTTTCATTCAAATAGAAAATACTACTCTTTCGCTTCATTAACTGAGTCCTTTGATTTTAGTCACAAGGCGCATCAGATATACATATAAAATCTATGTTTAATATACATATATTTGATGTTAGAGAAAAAAAATTTAATTGTGCGAATTTTCTAAATTTACATCTTCCCTCCTTTTCTCTCCGATGTCTATCTCCCCTCCCTCGCCATCTCTTTCCAATTACAGAAAAATGTAGCGCGGCACAACCGTAAAGACCTTGCGGTTTGTGCCGCGACTGCATTGTAGGTATAAAACTTGAAAATCTGAGGTATACGAATGGCCGGATTGTAATCTCGTAATATCATGAATTTGTATCTTTCCGCAAATATTTCTAAACAACATTGCTCTTCGCGCCAGGATAATATTATTTGCACGTTTTTTCTTAGCAAAATAGGTTCCAATTCGCCACGACTCGCTAATAGCAGTGCTCGAGGATGACTTCGTTCGGTCGCGGTCGCGGATGGTCCGCTCATAGCCAAGATCAGAATCTGCGTAGACCGAGTGGCGTGCTCGGTACCAATAAAATCGTGAGAGATATAATGGACAAGATAGTTTCATGCGACGAGAATGAATGTTTATCGTCGCAATTAATGAATGAGATCGTAGACTTGTTGATCGTCGCATATAAAGAGGAAAATCTGAGGTATTACAATTTAATGTTTGCCTTTTGAAGAGAAAGAGAAGAAAAAGGAGAAAATATATAACGATTGTTTACACAATATTTTTCTAGCGCATCATGTATTTCAGGCACGTATGCAATTCTATCTGGAAGCGGGCCATGTATCAGCATACCACAAGGATAGCAATGATATTCAGTAACAATAAGATCGCTTTGTTGGAATGTGGTACCACCAATTTACGAGGCAACTTCTTACGTTTCTTACAGGAAAATTACATGTGTAAGTGATAGTTGGAAGGTGATTGTCCTTTAAAGACGTCTGTCTTTGATATCTCCTATATCTAAATCATTTTGTCTTTTAGCTAAAGAAATATATAGAGAGAATAAAGAGACATTTGCCAATAATGTTTTGCTTCATGCAGAGGTTTATTATCATATGAGAATGAGCAATGGAAGTAGATTGGAGATATTAGCTGAACCATTGATTCAATACATGAAAGATCTATTACAAGATAATCCCCAGGATACTACTTATTTTATCATGATACAGGTAAGATTTTAGATGTATACCAAAATAGAGAAGTTTAAATATAAAAGTAAAATAACAAAGCTGATATATATGTAAAAGTATAATGATTACGGAAAAAATTTGTTTTTAGATTCTTAGATCTGGCAAGGATCTTAACATGGCATGTCCAGAGGAATTAGAAAATCTAATAATGACAATTAGACAATTGATAGTAAAGGAAAACTTTCACAATCCTGAAAACAATGCAGCATTATTATTAATTGTAGAGTTAGCCAATAATGGCTATGAAATTAAGGATACACAAGTGCAACATTTCTATCTCTCTAATATCAAGTCTATTTCCTTTGAACATCCGTTTTCTCACGAAGAATTAAAGGTGATTGCGACGAAAATTGAAAATGGTAATGGCTTGATAAATCATTTGAAGTTAGATACAAGATATATGAATAACACTTCCGCTACCATCATAGATAATTCTCGATTGTAATTCATCATTGCTGCGAAGAGTATATCTGTTACTCGGCAGGGATATGTGTATTATGATTTTCTACAAATCTGCCATATTAGAGTGATATTTTTTTTAAATTAATTTTTTTTAATTAATGCAGCATAACGCGCAGCATGGTGCACAAGTGATGATCATTGTCGGAGAAAATGTCAAGGATAGAAAAGAATAATTATCTAAGCCAGATGCAAAAGAAGAGGAAAAAGAAATCATGTGATAGAAATCTAAACTTATTTGGAAGGTTTGACGGGAATTAGTGCGTCAGAAGTTTTATGTAAATCTCGTTTTATGATAACTTCGTTATTTATTTTGCACATTTGTGATTTTTGATTATGAGATTACTGATAATTCTGATACAGTACATAATAAATGATTCTTTAGATTCTAGAGAACCTATTATTTATATTTTATACAAATAGGTTATATATTTATATTTTTAACAAATAGATTTTCTATTTTGTGTATACCTATACGATGTACAATTCTTCCTATAAATAAATATTTTGTATTATTTTTAAATTTGTCTTTGACATCTGAATGATAGCTCTTGTGTGGTGGTAGCGAAAGTGGAAAGATATTTAGGATGTGTTGTGAGCAACTTTCTGATGTTCTAGATAATCAATTATCGGAAGTTGATAACATTCAACGAATTGTAAAAGAAAAAATGAAAAATGATACGTCCGAATATAGTAGTTATTCGAAAAATTCTAACGTTCCGAGAGCGATACGTGGTTCGGGCGCATTAGATAAATCAAAGAAAGGAATGAATATTAACGCAAAATCAAATTCATTAAGGACAACAAGAGAAAGAAACAAGAATTGGGGTCATGACGATAGGTTTCACGAGCATTATGAATAATTATGATCTTTGCAAAAGGTGAATATTTATCAATTTAGCTTTAGTAGCGTGTGATATTTAACAAATCAGCTTATACTTTGACTAAACTTTAAAATATGTAATGTGACAAAAATAAAATTTCTTCTATTCCAGTTATTATCAACTATGGTGCAGAGAATAAATATAGTTGTAAAAGAGATTTTTCCAGAAAGATCATGGATTTATATATATGTATACACGACATATATATGTCATAATTACAATCAAAGAAGAAAATCATTGGATCCTTTTTTTTTCGATAGAATGTGTAAAAAGAATAATCTCATTTTTCTATTTTATCATTAAGAAATCATGGAATGTAATGTGTCTTGTTATCACCTCACTTGTTTTTACCTCAGGTAAAATTTTCAGATAATACATTTTATGAGATCAATCTTGTCAAAGGACAACTTGTAATAGAAAATGATAAGCTTTATAAATAAGCTGGGGTTTAGGAACAATGTACTCTATATTGTTAGATACTTAACGATATTGTCTCTGTTTAAAATATCAAGACAATCAATAATCACAAAAATCTTATCTTTCTTTTATTTTTCTTATTTTAATAATAAATGTAAAAAGGACAAATGTAACTCGAAATTTTATGATTGCGGAAATTTTAATTCTTTCTCTTTACATTATTATATTCAATCGCCAATCGAGTATTAATCACTCGGAATAGTGTATTCCTCCTGATCTGTATATATACTCGTATATTAAAACAAAATTCGCAATCATTTGCATAATTAAATAATGTAAACCAAAATAATGTAAAACAGAGTGTTATATGATATCATGTATTACATATACAAATATATAAAGTAAATTACAATTCTATTATCTTCAACTTATTATATTCGACTTTTCTTGAAATCATTCTCGGATTTTATAGCTGTTCCTTTTGCCAAAAATTATAAAATTATAAAATTATTGCCGAAAGTTCTCCTTTGTTTCATTAATTAATAAGTTATAACCATATATCTGCGAAATGCATTATGCATTATATATTATGTAACCAAAAATCAAGAACTAAGTTACAGCTATAACTGTCAAATTAATAATATATAGAAATAATATATAGAGATATGATTTTGAATTTCTCTTCAGTAAAAAGGATAGTTTTCGATATATGTAATTACAAGTTTTTCTATTAACTGTCAATGTTTTAAAAAAAATATGCAATTAAACGTTTGCAATTAATGAAAAATATTTCTATTTATATTTGGCAAGAATTTTTATTGTGTATTTTCTCGCTTCTCACACATCGAAAGTCAAGATGAGCGTATATAAAAAAAATATTGTCGGATTTTCGTGTTTACAACACATTTCAGGGGGTCGATCATGTAACTTTTCCTCTAGGGCGGAAACGTGAAAAATAAAAAGTTTCACGTGAATTTACGATCATGTACGATTTTGCGGGATCATGTAACTCTCTCAAACGTGAAAATGTGAAATTTTTCACGTGAACTTTTTCGCTATGTACCTTGGTGGCGGAAAGGCGGAAATCTAGGAATTAATAAATATGCTTCGGAATTAGAGAAGATTAGGGCTGCGTTAGGATTAAGTGTACGTAGTACATATACAATTGATTATTAAAAGATATATAATACTATACCAATAAAATAATTTTCATTAGCTATAAAACCTATGAAACTATGTTTCATGATTTCATTTTCCACGCATCCAAGCTACATACATAATTGCTGTACGTGAAAAATTTCACGTGAAATGTCAAGGTGTGAAAAATGAAAAGTAAAAAGTGAAAAATGAAAAGTGAAAAATTTCACGTAAAGCTACATGATTGATCCCCAGAATCAAATCTATGTCAGACGGATTGATTTTTGATCAAATTTACGCCAATTTGCCGATCTCTTGTGGAAAGTTTATTTTACTGGCTACTCAGATGTTAAAAAGAAAAGGAGATAAAAATACAGGACAAAAATTACGAAAGGTTCACTTACAAAATAAAATCTTGCAAGTGAATATTGAATTTCTCTTGATTTCAAACTAGGCTTGCAGTGTGAATAGCAAAGATGACACATGCGCCGAGATCCTTCCCTTCTCTTCTCGTCTAGGGAACACCACTGCGAGTGCGAGGTCTTATCTCCGCGGGCTACATGCCCGCAACCTGACTAAGCGACGTCAACAGAGACGCAAATTCAAACAGCCGGAAAGCGGAAAGTCGCGACGGCCGATCGTGTCACGCTGAGGTTTTCTCGGGTAAGTGCCGGCTGATTCGCGTAGCCATCGGTAAACCGACGACACGTTGTGTTTTCGCGTGCCGCGCGCTCCACCACATTCGACATAATGCGCGTCGTCGAATTAATCCCGCGAGAGCGCATCACGCGGGCGAGCGCGCATCGACACCGATCCTGGTCGATGTTTCGTTCGACTAGTCACGTTGAATTAATCCCGTGGTTATCTCGCGGTTAGGGATGTGCGCACGTAGAATGTCACACGCGCGCCCTGTCTCACGATCCACGAGTCCACGAGAATCTTTGATCCAGGTTAATCTCGGTTTAATCCCCCGCGATGAAAACGCAGTACGAGCAACCGACACTCGCTGTGCTTAACGCGGATGCCCAATGGGAGAAACGTCCTCGAGAACGTCGTCACCGCGAGAACGCCGAAAGCGAGAAGCGAGAGAAGAGTCCCCGTAAGAATTGAAAGAACGAGCCGGTTTGCGAGTTTGCTAGTACTATTCTCACTATTTTCTCGTTCACTTACATACCTCTCCCGTTATACACAACTCGCTCATACACAACTCGTGCGTGCAACATAGAATCGTACGTATGTACTTACATACAGTCGTCTGATGTTTCATCGATGTGAATTTTATTATTAATGTGTGTGAGTGTGACATTTTCAGCGCGCGGGGATACCGTCTAACGTAGGCACGTGAAACAGGTGTTTGTTTTATCAATGAGACAGACCTGACATGTCTTACACTGAACTGGAACATGGTTACCAAGTAAATTCTCTCGTAGCTGTTCGAATATAATTTTCCTGTTTCACATTCGATCGGATAATTCTAACGAGACTTTGTTCACAGGGTCTCAGGAATGCGAATAGACCGATGTTTTACATAGGAGACATAAATACAGTGCAACCGTCTGTCATTCCTTCAATCTATCATTCATCGAAGAGAGTAAGTTCGCTATTATTGCTTTATCGCTGCCGAAGCCCGGCTGCAAACGTCTCTTGGTATCACACGAAGCACAGTTTGAAATCTATTCTTCAGAATCTTAACTTTAGAGCACGCGCTATGTGCGCGTGAAATTTTTATGAACGTAAAATAAGTGTTTCCTTCTGCCCTTTCCCCCTTTTTATATGAATAATGCGAATGATACGAGTGATCGTTTCTCGATCGTGTATTTGGTTGTTAGATTGATGTACAAAATTGGTCTGTATCTGATAAGAAATCACAGAAATAGAGAAGTAATATAATGCGACTGAGCTACACACGTGATTGGTTGTTCAAGAAGTTGTTCAGTCACCGACTGGAGGACAATGTGTTGCTTTATTTCTATCGTTTCGCCTTGCGTTTATGTCATAAAAATGACGAGTGTGCACATGTAGAACATCTGTTAATTAAAAAGAAATATACATTTGATCGGAGGTTAGTAAATATATATATATATATATATATATATATATATATATTAGGGATGTGCTTTTGCGACGTACGTTGCCATTCCTTTCATATATTTAAAAATACACGCGATTCTATATCCTTGTTTATAATACAGTGAATTATTGTCTTGACTCCGGTAGATAGGCAAACAGTTATGTACAACAGTCATGACGTTATAAAAGGTTGCTAAGTAAATTTGAACACTCTTGCTGATCATTAGGGCCTAGAAGTGAGATTATGTAATATCGACTTTTAAAGAAACAAAACAGTCGGTGTAACAGTACACATCTTTATGTAATGGAGTATACAAATGCGATTAGTAGAAGAGTATAATAAATTCTGTTGTGTTTTCTGATGATGTTTAGCCAAGCAGGGATCTATCTCATTATAAGACACGTTATTCGAGCACGAATGGTACACACATGATATGATACTTAGTGTTGAATTTTTTTAATGATGCATGCACAACAGTGCAGATTAATCATTCCCTTTATTTGTGTAGAAACATACATTTGCTAACATTCATCGTCGGCCAACTGTAACTGATGCTAATATTGACTGACTATTGTAAACTGCTTCCGACTGTGCTTGATAATTCCGACGATCGTCTGCGAGTTCTATTTTTATTCAGAATGTATTTAATACTCGTTACTTTAACACTATTGAGCACGATTTAAGTAGCGCGCGTGTCACTAGACTCTTAATTATTTTGCTATACACATTTCACGCTATACTATAAACTTGTGTCGTCTTGAAGATGCACGAGCGTGCTATCAAGAGAATATCTGTGAATTTTAAATTACAGTGATAATATTCAAATGATATATATAAGAATCTGATAATCCTTTTATCTTTCTAACATGATATGTAGTTTACATTATTGAGTGAGGAGTTTACATTATTGATGTTGGAATACTATGAAATCATTGCTTATTATCAGAAGACATCAGAATTATGGAGTTTTGAATATTCTTGAAAATTCGTAACAATGATTTTTACTTTCAAGGTAAAAGCGTGTATGTTGCTGCGTACATCTGTATGTACAAAAGGTTAACTATATATAATCTAAAAGATTCTTAAGATTAACCTACAGTATTAAGTAGTTTATTATTGCATTTTGTATCAAGAAAGCTGTAATATTTTGTCATGTATTTTATAATTATTGTAGAAATAATAATCATAATTATGATAAAAAAGAAACACAAGATATTTATATGATTATACTTTAAATATTTAAAAGTAGTGATAAAGATATATATTCTTTTCAGCTGTGCGTAACACTGCTATTTATTAGTTTTCTGAGATTACTTATCAGATATCTCTAATTGTATAAAAATATACCATCATAATACTTTGTCATTCGTTAAAGTTGTTCTACATGAAAATGAAAATAGATTCTATTATGTTTCATTAACTAGCATAATCTCTCTTTCTTTCCTTTTTTATATTAATCTTTATATTAATCTTTTCTGGATCTTTTATTACAATGATTAACAAACGCTCGTGCTTCGATTTGCTTGTTGCTGCATGACTGGTATTGCATTTTCATCATTGATCTGGATTGTAATGAAATAGTAATAGTAAAGCAGAATAAACAAAATTAAACGAAAATATATAAACGCACAGACGAACTCAAAAGCCTCGTATTGAATCATGAATTTAAAGATTGCGTAATTTTTCACCTTCGAATGTACATATTTCACGCTTTGTTGCTTGATACATATTACCTTTCTATGTAGGCAATAACATATGCGATCAACGTATAACTTACTTATCAAAGATCAAACTAAAGAGTAATGAGTAATCTTACAAGAGTTCGCGATGAAAGTTGTCCTGCTGACGACAAGCCTAGATTTCTATCCTGCCTAAAGGCATACTGGGTGAGCACTATTTAGTTTGAAGATTTTTATAATCTTCATCACTGCTTGTTATATAGCGGAGTTTAGAAGTCACGTTTTCTAGAAGTTGCATTTAAAAAAATCAGGCTGTGATGTTTCTTCTACGTCTGAGCTATCACTGATTTTTCAAAAGAAAACCATATGTGTGTGGTAGTGAATTTGTTTTTTATTCTACGTATAAATTTTATTATATTTATATTCAAGCGCTTATTAATTATTTTCTATTGTGTATATCATCAGGATATGATTCGTATATATGGCATTATCCCTTTGAGTAGTTGTCACTTATGACTTGCTTCACTTTCTAGCCTGAATTATCGGAAGGCACTCAAAATGATGCTTATATGGGCGGAAGCGATGTGGAAGGAGAGGGAAAGCAAGTTCTGGTTGGGATATGCGCAATGGCGAAGAAATCGCAGAGTAAACCAATGAAAGAGATTTTGACGAGGCTCGAGGAATTCGAGTATATAAAAATCGTTGTTTTTCCAGAAGAAGTGATATTAAAGGTAATACATATATTTATGTGAGAAAAGTTTATACTCTACAAAGTTTACATCTTTTCTACTTGTGCTTATGTCTATATATATATAGGAACCTGTAGAAAATTGGCCTATAGTCGACTGCTTAATAAGTTTCCATAGTAAAGGTTTCCCCCTTGATAAAGCTATCAATTACGCGAATTTACGTAAACCATTTATCATTAATCATCTGCCGATGCAGTATGATATCCAGGTATAATATGAATTTTTAATATTACCGAATATTAAATTTTCAATAGTATATACATTTTTGTATATACTATATATTAACATAAATGACAATTGTCGTAGGATCGAAGAAGAGTTTATGCCATACTGGAGAGTGAAGGAATCGAAATTCCACGATACGCTGTTCTTGATAGAGATTCGCCAGATCCGAAACGTGAGTTGTAACATTTGTTTGCATTGTTCATAAATTCGTAAGTTCTTAATTCGCAATTTAGATTAAAAGTCGAATAACTGTGACGCAATTCAATGAGCTTAGAACAGTCGCGCATCTTATGCGCAGCTTATACGTATTATTTAATTTTTGTATAGAACATGTACAGAACATGTACATGTTTGTATAGAACCGTACAGAGAACATACAATGTTTCAGAGCACGAATTGGTGGAGTCGGAGGATCATGTGGAGGTGAACGGTATTACTTTCAACAAACCATTTGTGGAAAAACCAGTATCTGCCGAAGATCATAATATCTATATTTATTATCCCACTTCTGCCGGTGGAGGAAGTCAGAGATTATTTAGAAAAGTACATATGACATTTCTCATACGGGATTTATGACGCTCTAGCGTCCTTGTTTTTTTTTCTAAATTAAAAAAGAGGATATTTATAATATATTCATATTTGTTTGATGTACAGATAGGTAGTCGTAGTAGCGTATATTCTCCAGAATCTCGCGTTCGCAAGAGTGGTTCTTATATCTATGAAGATTTTATGCCTACCGATGGCACTGACGTTAAAGTTTACACTGTGGGACCTGATTACGCTCACGCGGAGGCGAGGAAAAGTCCTGCTCTTGACGGCAAAGTCGAAAGAGACTCGGAGGGTAAAGAAATTCGCTATCCGGTGATACTGAACAACGCCGAGAAACTTATTAGTAGAAAAGTATGTTTGGCCTTCAAGCAAACGGTGTGCGGCTTCGATTTATTGAGGTATATGTGTGCGTGCGTATGTGTGTGTGTGTGTGTGTGTGTGTGTGTGTATGTGTGTGTGTATGTGTGTGATATATATATATATATATATTTTGTATATTCGTATATGATATTACCAGTATAATTATTAAAAAATTAAGTATATCTTCCTATTTTTAAATCTTTATTATAAACGATAATAATTTAACTGTAGTAAACAATTTTTTTCTTTTCTACAATCATTAAAATTATTTTTGCATCAATCAGTAAAATTATTTGGGATATATCTTTGTGATATATATTATTAGAAACATAGCATGTGTCATATGCCGACATAGTACAATGGTACGTAGTTATCAATGTTACTTTAGAGTACATATCGCATTACATATTCAATAACTTCAACTTTTGTTGCAACGTTAGCTCGAATCGACTCAGTTGGGAAACAGTGTCAACACGGGCGAGTCGAATATATCTCGAGTTGTAATCTGCTTATGTAAGCGGTCGAAATCAATTACAATTAATAACACAGCAACATAATTTTGGTTCCAGAGCAAACGGCCAGTCATTTGTGTGTGACGTAAATGGATTTAGTTTTGTAAAGAACTCGAATAAGTATTACGATGACTGTGCCAAGATTTTGGGGAATATGATACTCAGGGAACTGGCTCCCACGTTACATATTCCGTGGAGCGTTCCCTTTCAATTGGATGATCCACCTATTGTGCCAACTACATTCGGCAAAATGTTAGTCTAACCGCAAGTGATAATTAAATTACATGAAATTATATTATTCTCAAGATTGAAGTATGATTCTTAAGAAATGATTGTTATTAATTATTAAACTGTAAATTTTAATATCAATCTAGGATGGAGTTGCGTTGTGTCGTAGCGGTTATCAGACATGGTGATAGAACCCCAAAGCAGAAAATGAAAGTAGAAGTGCGTCATCCAAAGTGAGTAAATAAGATTCATCATCCATTTCTTTTATCCATAAACATTAAATATAAATTAAATTATAACATCTCATAGATTTTTCGAGATATTTGCAAAGTACGATGGTTATAAGCACGGCCATGTGAAATTAAAGCGTCCTAAGCAGTTACAAGAGATACTCGACACAGCACGTAGTCTACTAGCAGAAATACAGCATCGTGCGGCGGGACCAGAGTTGGAAGAAAAACAAGGGAAATTGGAGCAGCTCAAGAGTGTTTTGGAAATGTATGTAGCAATAAGCAAAATTGTTTAGTAATCCTTAAATTTATCACATATTGTTAACATTAAACAGTTGAAAAAAAGAGCAATATAAATTTATAATAAGATCCTTGACTTTATAGGTACGGACATTTCTCTGGCATAAATCGTAAAGTCCAATTGAAGTATCAACCGCGAGGTCGGCCGCGGGGAAGTTCTTCCGACGACGGTAGTGATCTTAGTATGCTTCGTTTACATATATTCATATGAATAAATATAATGTATATAATATGTGTGTGCACGCGCGCGCGTGATGTGTAATATATCTATAGATATATTTTAGAAAGTTGTGTATATATAAAGAAATGCGCATACCTCCTTATCTTTTCTCTTTCAGATCGATTGGGAGAACCGTCTCTGGTCTTAATATTGAAATGGGGCGGAGAACTGACGCCGGCCGGACGTATTCAGGCAGAAGAATTGGGACGAATATTCCGCTGCATGTACCCCGGTGGTCAAGGTAGACACCTTAGTGGTTCGTATCTTATGTTCATATGCTTGCCATGCTCGCTTTTAAGTTTCTACACGTCGGAGATCGTTTCTACAATAATTTCCTTCTGTTAGTTAAACCTGATCTAGATTTATCCGTGATATATATGATCCGAAAGTCTCTCTTTTGACTTTCGGTATACGAATCAGTATCTCTCATATTTTGAGAACACTAAGTTACGAGATTATTGGACTTGGCTTAAAGATTGTCAGAGATTATTGAGATTGAGAAACTGGGATTGTACTCTCATACGATTTATATCGCTATATCTTGTATCACAAGAGAAATGTAAAGGCTACTCAAGAATAATCAATAATCGAATTTATGCGAGAGTAATTGTCAGTGTAGCAACCACTGTGGCACTAACAACCATATTGGCAATCATATCTTAATTGGTAGTTAATAGTGAGATATAGTAATACTATGCTTATGAGTGTCACATATAGGATAATTTATCTCAAATGTTATTTCAGAGGAAGAATCAGAGATGTTACCAAATCACGGTAACTTTATTTTACGATCCATGCTTATTCTATAGTTTTCTGTAGATAGTATTGTTGTTCTTAGAAATAGCGATGTTTTTTTTTTTTAGAAGCGATGGCGCTAACAGTAAGAATATATTTGCACATTTTATATATTTTTATTTAAACGAGTTCTCGAGTTATGTCATCCGGCTCAGCGAGACGAGCTGTCGGTAACTTGGGAACAGCATGGTTTTAGCGTACACACCAACACTCACATCTGTCGCCACATGCTTTTCCTATGCCAGTATACTACATTTTTGTTAATTCTGTTTTTAATAGCACTATAACACGTTATTTCTTTTTTGTACAAGATGTTATGCACGTTACTTTTTGTACGATATATGTTTTTTTCGAAATGTAATTTTTCAATTGAAATACAAACAGAGAGGAGTTTGAAGGTAACTCTAAAACATTTAGAGACATGAAAAACTACTTGCAATATCCTCCGCGTTGTGATACGTTGTGATACAACATCGATTAATCTAATTAATTCTGATTAATACAGCTTTAATGATATCACGATGATCTCAATACTAGAGCATAGATCATCTCGACAACTTTTCGAGTAATTCTCCAAGTTGTTTCGTTGTCGTTGTATTATATGGATTATAGCTGTACCCGGAGGCATTTTGCCGTTGTGTTGATATTATTCCCTTGTTTAAACATAGGTGAATACGCAGGTGCGCAAGGATTGGGTTTGTTACGCCTGCATTCCACATTTCGCCATGACTTGAAAATCTACGCTAGCGATGAAGGACGCGTGCAAATGACCGCAGCGGCCTTTGCAAAGGGACTACTTGCATTGGAAGGAGAGCTAACACCCATTTTAGTACAAATGGTGAAAAGTGCGAACACTAATGGCCTTCTGGACAATGATTGTGATAGTAGCAAATATCAAAACATGTGAGTAAAATGATTTTCGTTAATTGCTTAAATATTGTAATTTTTGTTTCATGCCTAATGCCTAATATTTGTAATTACAAAGGGTGAAGACGCGTTTGCATGAGCTGTTGCAACAGGACAGAGAATTTACTCGCGAGGATCGGGAACAGATCAATCCGGGAAATGCTTTGAGCATAAATGCCGCTTTAGATTTTGTTAAGAATCCGGTCCGATGTTGCCAGCACGTTCACACGCTCATCCAGAAACTTCTGGACATTGTGCGAATTAAGAAGGAAGATCTAAAAACAAAGGACACGATACTCTATCACGGCGAAACGTGGGAACTGATGGGACGTCGTTGGGGAAAGATAGAGAAAGACTTTTGCACGAAGAACAAACGTTTCGACATATCTAAAATTCCTGATATTTACGACTGCATAAAGTACGACTTGCAACATAATAATCACACGTTGCAGTTCGAACACGCGGAAGAACTGTACACATACGCTAAATCCTTAGCGGATATAGTAATTCCTCAGGTAATATAATAATATAATAATTCAGGTATACTCTTTTCGTCGCCACTAACAACGATTCTATCAGGGTTTTATTCTTTTAATCGTGAATATATTAATACACAGGAATATGGTTTGACAGTACAGGAGAAACTGACTATCGGTCAAGGCATATGCACCCCTTTGTTGAAAAAAATACGAGCCGACCTGCAACGAAATATCGAGGAATCTGAAGAGACTGTCAATAGGCTTAATCCTAGGTATTACGATTGAGTCCTAAAGAACTTTCTCCTCTCTAATAATTACCTCCTCTCTAAAAATTTACAATTTTTTTAGTGACTATACAATAATAATTAATGATTTACAGATATTCTCACGGTGTATCAAGTCCAGGACGCCATGTACGTACAAGGCTGTATTTTACAAGTGAGAGTCATGTACATTCCTTGTTAACTGTGTTACGTTATGGCGGTTTACTTGATGTAAGTGACATGTCCCAGATATATGTGCGCGCGCGCGCGCGCGTGTGTGTGTAGATAAAGATGTTCATCTTTTTTAAGTTTTATTAATTTCTTGTGCGTTAATCCGCAGGTGGTGAAAGACGAACAGTGGCGGCGCGCGATGGAATATGTCAGCATGGTCTCTGAATTGAACTATATGTCACAAATTGTTGTTATGTTGTACGAGGACCCAACCAAGGACCCAAGTAGCGAGGAGCGTTTTCATGTCGAGTTGCACTTCAGTCCTGGCGTCAATTGTTGCGTGCAAAAGAATCTGCCACCTGGTCCTGGATTTAGACCACACTCTCGTAACGAGAGCAGTCACAATGTGGTAAAATTTCAAATTGTCTATAATATAGTGCGTATTATTAATAATAATAATAATAATACATGAATTTTTTTACCTCTTTTAAGGGGGAAAATGGTGGTTCCGGTCAAGATACTACTTCGCAATGTAGTACACGGATAGAAGAAGAGGATGCGGAATTGGGTATTATTGAGGACGATCCAGCGAATACTGCGGCACAAGCTGTGAGTTTGTTTGTTAATTACGTAAGGAAATCTTTGGTGAACATTTTATTAAATCTATATTTTTTAATTATTCTTAAATGAAATGAAATTAAATTAAAAATTATTTAAATTATTAGTTTCTTAATACGATAGGTAAAAATTTACTTTCAGGATACGCCTCCTCCATTAATAGAAACGGACACTATGGACTCGATGTTGGACAGTCCAACGACCAGTCGCGGGATCGATATGATGGATCTAGATCCAAATATGATGGACGAACCGTACGACAGTGGATTCTTACAAGGCTCGGCACCGATTCCCATTAGGTTTGCTATTTGCTTGTGTACAATTTGCATTGAGTACTTTTCGTTGTTCAAATATTTATCCCTCTCGTGAACAATAATACGTCAGGAATGGAAATTTCATTTCACATTATGATATATATGTGCAGCGCCAGAACCGTAGCTGGGCACGAAGCTGCTAGACTCGGTAGTCAACTGGCGGCGACTCAACGACAGCGGCGAAGTAGGGAGGCAGGGAACATCGTGGAACCGCGAGCGCGAAGCTACGATCATCAACGGCAAGAGAAGCCCGAGAAAGGTAAGTGTGCTTTTATATGCAAGTTATCCATATCGGTGAGCAGATTTAAAGTAAATGTGTGTAAAGGATATCGCCGACAAACAAGCGATATATTTGACCGAGATTTAATATTAACACACTGATGTATACTCGTTGTATATGTACATAATACGCGTATACATATACCTCCCCCCCCACCCACACACACACACGGAATGTGTATATAAGATATATACGGTCTATCCTTAACACATTAATGATTTATGCATGATTATAATTTTTTATTATTTATTACTGGTCTTCTTTATCACTTTAATGGCATCAACAATTATCGATATTTATAGTACGTTGCGTATGCAAAATGTTGTATATCCTCCTTCCCAAATTATATGATGGCCTCACACCATGAGATTACGTTCCACGATAAATCCTATTACACCCTTACACAAGTAGTGATTAATGGAAGATGTTTCGCGATTCAAATTAGAATATCGTTTGGTATTCTAATTTGATGAGTAGTTTGAATTACCATACATTTCTTGCAGATATCAATAATATTTACAGAACATCGTAAAAAAACGCTACATTCTTTAAATTTTGCATTGAATTTAGATTCGATTCCTTGTTCTCCAATTAAGAGATATGAATTCGCGAATTTGTCATTTCATCATTTTTATGAAATGTCGTATATAGATGAATAGGACTTGAGTTGGGGGCCTTACAAATAATACATGGTACAAGGATGTCCTAATCTTCTATTCGAAGAATATGCTGTTTCGTGGAAGCATATGACGTTTAATGCATATTATATGTTTATTAACGTTTAAAGTTTAAAGGCATTGGGATACGCCATAGAGCTTTTAAGGAATTAATTACTGGCAATTAAATTGATGGAACATCGGCACAATGCTCCTTTCTGTGTTTTACTATTCTCTTTTTGTAGCTGCGGACAAGCTGCAGTATCAGAGCTTGGACGCGGTCAACAAAGAAGGTATGTTTTTATCGGCTACCAATTTCTTTTTTACAGAATCATTCTCCAAAATAATGTACATGTGAACTTTTTGGTGACTTTTACGTATCCTCTTTATTTTTATCGTAATCGAGCAGGACATTCTGTTTATATACTTTTTTTCTTTGAATACTAAATGTGTCTTTTGTATCCGTAGAGAAACTCTTATGTACAAGTTGCAGTGAAATAATTCTATCAATCGGTGATGATATTAGTGTAGTACGCAGCTACGCTGCGTGATGAGATCTCGCGTTAAATGTAGCACAATTCTAATTCTTAAGCGTAAAGCGGACAATTCTGCTTATTTTCGTTGCAATTAAAATGTGCATAGTTGTTGGACCGATATATCGATATCCGGAATGCGCTTGTGCACATCGTCGGTACTACAAAGTACTGATTAAGATAACTGCCGATAACTCTCTCGTACCCTACATCTTATACTTTATAGCTATAGTCTCTATAGTCTCTATAGTCTCTATAGTTTTATCCCTTCCTCGGTAAATTAATCTTGTATATTTTGTCAAAATTAAGTTTTCACAATATGTTGCGACTTGCAATCTACATTTGTTTTTATTATCCTTTTCCTACTTTAATCACAGAGAGGTAGACCGCACGTATTGTATAGACAAGAAAAAAGATTTTTTCTGGAGGGAAACCTTTCTTTTTTTTTTAATGACTAGCTCTCTAGAATACTGGATGAGATGCGAAACACGATCCGATCGATCTATCCGGACGGGGTAATCTATCCGGAAAAAGTCTAATATGTCTTGTTTCATGTAATACAGCCGAGAGATGTGTATTTTGCCAATGCCAGAGAGTAGGAGGCGATGATTCCAATTGAAATAACTCTTTGCTCAGCGATAGTTGTGCGCGTGGAAGCCAACTAATCAAGTATCGGCAACTGTTCGGGCCACACGCGTGCACCACTGTAGTGTGGTTCGTTCAGCTGCCCACTTCCTGAATCCTCAATCCCGAGATTAACATCCTCCGGAACTTCGCAAGCTTCTTCACCACGTTCATCGAACCTTTCTTCGATGTGTTTCTTACAATTTCACGCGCACTCGCTCATCCGCTCATCGCGAAGTGTCATCGCATTTTAGCAGCATTTTAGCAGCATTTTATCCAAACTTTTCAAACGAAAACTCGTTAACTTTCATTGATTATTCTCACAGCCTCCTTTTTTTGTATTCACATTTTATTTCACTCATTGTGTCTTCATTTTTCATCGTTGTCACTTTCATTGATAATGCCGGACTTCTTCCCACCTCGAATAAACAGCTCGCGAAACATGTTAACTTACTCGTCATCTCGTTCTTCCTCTCAATTCATGCATAATTCATAACAGCATCAGGAAAAGAAAAGAAATGAATGGGATTCAGACGGAGAGGCATCGATGTATATCTTTCTGCATCATCACGATCTAGTATACTAATGTCGTTCGAGCATTCTAACAAATGTTGGTGTATATATCAAGACTGTCTATATATGTGAAGGTCGTGTGATTTGGTTGGCTTACTGGTTGCATGGCTATCGTGTGCCACGGTTGTATGGTGTACATACTCGTGAATCTGACATACTCGCTAAAGGGTCGCAGGTATAATCTCTCCTTAATTCTTAACTTTATTTCTTCTTCGAACGGCGAATCTTTACAGAAATATATCATAAATATATTTGTAATTATTTTCAAGTATCAAATTATATTATTCAGTTAGTGAGATTATCAAGCTGTTCAAGTTGTTTCTTGCTATTTATAAAGAGTACTTAACTGTACGCTGACGATTCTTATTATACGTGTATGGATATTATTTTATTCTTTGTAAGTTATATATACATACAATCTCCGTAACACGTACGAAGAAAGCAAAGTGTGCCATTCTGTGTCGGTAAAACCAGTGGTTCAAAGATTCGTCCCGCTCTTTCTGTTTCTTTAGCAAATGGATTTAATCAGC